TGTTGCTCTCTCATCATTGATGTTTCTATCTCTCTCTCCCTGTTCCTTCCTCTCTGAAATTCATAAAAACATGTATATTAGCCCTAACCGGTTTGGCTCAGTGGATAGAGCCTTGGCCTGCGGACTGAAGGGTCCCAGGTTCGATTCCGGTCATGGGCATGTACCTGGTTGTGGGCACATTCCCAGGAGGTGGTGTGCAGGAGGCAGCTGATTGATGCTTCTCTCTCATCGATGTTTGTAACTCTCTATCCCTCTCCCTTCCTCTCTGTAAAAAATCAATAAAATATATTTAAAAAAAAAACATGTATATTAAAGACAAACAAACAAAAAGATGATAATCCCATTCTCTCCCCCCGCCCCACCTAAAAAAAAGGCAGTGCTAACATTTTGGTGGCCATATATATATATATATATATATATATATATATATACTAGAGGCCCGGTGCACAAAAATTTGTGCACTCGGGGGGGTCCCTCAGCCCAGCCTGTGCCCTCTGGCAGTCTGGGACCCCTCGGGGGATGACCACCTCCTGGCTTAGGCCCACTCCCCAGGTGATCAGGCCTAAGCTGGCAGTCAGACATCCCTCCGGCAGCCCGGGAGCCCTCAGGGGATGTCCACTTACCAGCGGGGAACAGGTCTAAGCTGCAGTAGGACATCCTTAGCGCTGCTGAGGAGGCGGGAGAGGCTCCCACCACCACCGCTGTACTGGAAGCCGTCAGCCTGGCTTGTGGCTGAGCAGAGCTCCCCCTGTGGGAGCACACTGACCACCAGGGGGCAGCTCCTGCATTGTGTGTGTCATAGTGACCAGTGATTCCCAGTCACTCTGCTGTTAGGGTCAATTTGCATATTACCCTTTTATTATATAGGAGTGCCTGGCCAGCCTAGGTGAGGGGCTGATGGCTGTTTGCAGGCTGGCCACACCCCATTCAGGGTGGGGGGGCGTCCTGCTGGGGTGCCTGGCCAGCCTGGGTGAGGGGCTGAGGGCAGTTTGAAGGCTGGCCAAGCCCCCCAGTGGGAACCCTCACCCCATGATGGTGTGGCCAGCCTGAGTGAGTGGCTGATGGCTGTTTGCAGGCTGGCAACAGCCCCTTCAGGGTGGGGGTTCCCACTGGGGTGCCTGGCCATCCTGGGTGAGGGGCTGAGGGCTGTTTGCAGGCAGGCCACAGCCTCTTCAGTGTGGGGGTTCCCACTGGGGTGCCTGGCCAGTCTGGGTGAGGGGCTGATGGCTGTTTGCAGGCTGGCCACAGCCCCCAACCACCCAAGCTCCCAGTGAAGGCTGGCTGGAAGCAGGTATCTGGGATTTATTTGTCTTCTATAATTGAAACTTTGTTGCCATGAGCGGAGGCCTCAGCTGGCTCAGGGCTGGTGGGAAGCTTGGCTTCCTCTATCGCCCAGGCAACCAAGCCTCCTGCTTGCTCCAGCTCTGTGGCTGCTGGCCGCCATCTTGGTTGGGTTAATTTGCATATAGTCACTCTGATTGGCTGGTGGGCATGGCTTAGGGCGTAGCAAAGGTACGGTCAATTAGCATCTTTGTCTTTTATTAGTGTAGGTTTTATTTGTAGGAAAACTAAGGTCAATCTATGTCCTATTTTATATGTATATACACACATACCATGGATGTATTTCTACTATATTTGTACAATGTTAATTGCAATGTCTACATAATATTTTATCTAAACTACACTTAGGTAGTTTAGTTAAAAAACAGTTTTGCTATTTTTAAAGGGGCATTGGCATAAGGGATGCACTTGGATTTTCTACTAAAAGATGAGTTAAAGTAATAGCTAGCAATATCAGTTATTTTAAATGATCTCTTTATTTCTTATGTTAAAATATACCAATGCATTTCTAATGATGTACTGGTTAATTCCACTTTCTTTATCATAAGACCTAAATCTATAAATAGGTAACATTACTAGTAAACTAAATTAGCAATCTTAGAGATACCTATACTGGATATGCTGTTGAACTAGCATAAGTAAGATCCCTTCTAAATTGAAGATTCTATGTTCAGTCACTCCCAACAGATCTCCCAAAGACAGTCACTGGTCTTTGGTGGAAGAATTACAGATCTTCCATGATCAAACATTACTGGCATTTGTAGCCTGGCATTGCCTATTTAGGTGGGATAATATTAACTAGAAATAGTATTGGGCAATATAGATTGGTGCCGGCACATTAAGAAGGAAAGATAGTTAGCAGGGAATATATTTTGGGGACATATCAACCATTTCAGTGATTTCTTTAAATACAACAAAGTGTCACAGCTGAAGTTCTTAGATGCAGAGATACTGCCAAACAGTATTACTCTGGGCTAACCTACTTTTGGTGACACTTATCTCAAAAGAAAAGCTCTAAGGAGTGCTCAGATTTACCCATTCACTTGAATTTCTCCATTCATAGGACATATTATATAAGTCACAGATGTTCTTTCACTGCTTTTATATTCTGAAAGGATACTTGAGAGGCAGGAATGACACAGGAAGTGTGTGTACAGGTGACTAGGGGAGCATCAAATTCTGGCCCTGTGGGCTTCAGTTTCCTCTATCTGGTCCCCTGGGCTAGGCGGAACAATTGTCTCCAGGAAGATTTGGCACACCCCTGGCCCAGACACATTTCCTCTCCTCACTATCACCCCCACATCTTCCCAGTAGTTGTGAATTCATCGAGATAGGAATCAGCCTTTCTAAAGGCTTTGGGCAGTGGCACTTTCTCTTTGGCATCCTTCAAGGACTGCTAAGAACCTCTGTTCCAATATTATTTTACTGCCTGTTCCTTCTTCTATGATAATATACTAATAGCTCTTCTAAAGATGCAAGATAAAAGCACTCCATCATTTACAATGTACTTTCACAACTTTTTCATTTGATTTTCACAAAATATCTTATAGAATAAGCAGAGCAGGCATCAACATGTACATTTTCACAGATAAAGAAGTTGAGAGGTATTATTACACATATGTATGTACATTTGATATATGAATATGAAATTACTAACCATACTTAATGATGCCTGTTTTGATTGATCTTTCTCTGCTCTACACCCCTACTCCTTCTTGATTGTTTTATGAGTAAAACTGTCCATTTATTGATCAAGACCAACATTAAACCACCCCCAGGAAGCCAGCTTTAAGATACACATTCATAGAACAAGAAAAGATTAATATCACAGGCAGCATTTTTATTTCCTCAGTGTAATTACTATCTATTCTTGTATTGTTATTCAATGCTTTAACAGTACCTGTAGTGAGTCACACATAAATACATATACACATATTCTTATTTTTATACTAGAGGCCTGGTGCACAAAATTTGTGCACTTGGGAGGGGGTCCCTCAGCCTGTCCTGTGCCCTCTCCCAGTTCTAGAGCCCTCGAGGGATGTCCAACTGATGGCTTAGGCCCGCTCCCCTAAGCCGGCAGTCAGACATCCTTAGTGCTGCCGCGGAGGTGGGAGAGGCTCCTGCCACCACTGCTGCGCTCACCAGCTGTGAGCCTGGCTTCTGGCTGAGTGGCACTCCCCCTGTGGGATCAGGCCAAAACAGGTTCTCCCCCAAGGGGTCCTGGATTGTGAGAGGGCACAGGCCAGGCCGAGGCACCCCACAGGTGCACAATCAGGGCCAGGGAGAGATGCTGGAGGTTGGCCAGCTGAGGAGGGACCACAGGAAGGCTCCAGGGCATGTCAGCTTATCTCGCTCAGTCCTGATCAGCCAGACCTCAGCAGCAAGCTAACCTACCGGTTAGAGCGTCTTCCCCCTGGTGGTCAGTGTATGTCATAGTGAGTGGTTGAGCGGCCTTAGCATATCATTAACATATTATGCTTTGATGGTTGAATGGCCAACAGGTCAACCGGACACTCAGCATATTAGGCTTTTATTATATAGGATTCTAGACTGATTTATGTACCTATGTGCATATATAATTATATTTCTTAGACACATATAGTTTTTGTTTTGTTCTCTTACTGAAATACAGGAAAAGAAAGGGCCTTTTGTTAGAGATGTTATTGTTTCGTATCTGTGTCTCTTATCTAACAACCTTCACAAGCTAATATAAACATTTTTTTTAAAGTTTTCATTCTTTGGCAATCTGAACTCTCCATTTTTCTTAAATCATTTCAGATGAATTTGAATGTCATTCTTAAAACAAAACTGCTCTTATTTCCCCATACTTCTACTCTGGTCTCCATTATTTCATGTGAAATATCCTTTGCCTTTGCTCGTCTCTGGGTGGAGCTCTCTGGACCTATTTAAATCCTCTTAGCATCTTGTAGAACAGGCTGAATTTCAATTGTTAACATTCTAACCTATGTGGAGTGGAAATGGGACAAAGTTGTGTTAGAATAATATTAGTCCAACACTGTCTCATTTAATTGTAATGTCCAATTCGGTATCTTGTTTAGCATTCATTATTTTAAAAACTCAATGTATAATTCATTGTTAAAACACAAATTGCCCTTTAGTTATGGTGACCTGATGAGAAGTTGGCCTGCTTTTAAGATTCTTGGTTCCCCTTTCTGATCTTGTTTCATCCTTTTCAAGTGCCTGCTACTGAATACTGCCCTTTGGTTTCAGGATAAGCCCCTCCACTCTCCCCTTGATCCCTAGACCTGGTCTCAGGAAAGGGTCTCATATTTGTCACTTAGTCCTCAGGGAAGTGTTAGGCAGAAGTGAGTTCTTCCTTCTTCTGCCCATCTCCAGTGGTACAGACACCTTCTGTGACATTGGCTGTGTCTGAGCTCATTGTACTGCACAAAGGTTTCAGTGTTCTATGAGCATCTGAGAGGACAAATGAGGGAGGGCATGGTTCCTTCCCTCACAGAGCTCACAATCTACTCATGGAGATCAATCACAGGCAATGACTAAAGAACTGGTTGAATAAAGATCATGGTGCTTGAGAACATAGAAAAATTGCATTTTTAAGTTGCCATCCATATTAAGCTTGTGGAAACTGGTGAGTGTGGATCCTGATTTATAAGAAAGTGTTTCAAATCTCTTGTCAGGTCTGATTCCATCACACCCTAGGGGAGAGATTCACTCAGCTATATTTCCTTGCATTTTCTGTCATGAGTACTCCATGGAGTGAGTATATTTTTTACCAATCCATGTGTCTAGCTAAAATATATATAATGAATGCTTTCTATATGTTATCCTTGGTACTGAGGATACCGCAGTAAACAATACTCAGTCCCTATCACCAGACCTTATGTACTAGTGCAGAGAATGTGAAAGGTAAGGCAAGCTAATAAATAGCTACAATATAGTATGATAAATACTGTCATAAGGATAAGCAAAGTCTACAAGGAGAAAGAGTAGGAGCCATGTAATTCATGAGTCAAGGTTAGTCAGGCAAGCCTGCAGCTTTTTTCTAAGTTGAGAGCAGTGGGAGTTACCAGGTAAAGGAAATGAGAAGGGGCTTGGTGAATTTTGGGGACTACAGGTAGAGTAGTATTGCTGAAGCATAGATGAAAGAAGAAGAGGGAGGGAAGAGAAGGTGAGACATGAACTTTTATAGGAGTTCAAACCATGAAGGTCTTGTCTGCCATGCTCAGGAGTTTAGATTTTATTTAGAGTGCAATGAGGTTTTATTGAAGTTGAAGTGATCAGTGACACAATTCAATTTGTATTTTAGGAAGACTAGTGTTTCTGCAATGTGCTGAATAAATGTGAGAGAGTAATATTGGAGAGAGACCAGGTAGAAGGCCTTTATAGTAATCCTCAAAACATCTTATAAGGCTGTGGCAATAAGAGTGAAGCAAAGTAGAGATTCCAGTAGATATTAAAGACTTAAAAGCTATAGGATGAGGTGCCTGATTTGATAGTATTGGGCAAGAAGAGGGAATCAGGACTGGGACCCAAATAGCTGTGATCTCATTTACAAGAGGAGCAAGTTTATGGGGGAAAGTAAGAAGATGGTAAGTTCATCATTGGATATGATGAGCTGGAAATAAATGTGGTTAAACTAAGATGGCATGTCTAGCAGACAGTTGAGTAGGTGAATTTATGGCTTGGGAAAAGGATCTGGCTGGGGATACAACATGGGAGTCACAGATCTATAGGTTATTGCTTAACAATGAAAGCATCCAGAGTGATCTGATAAATATCAGTATATGAGCATAACCAATGGACACAGACAGGGGTAAAAGGGTGAGGGCATATGCTGAGGGGTGGGGGCAGCTGGGGAGAGGTCAATGGGGGAAAAAAAGGAGACTTATGTAATACTTTAAATGATAAAGAATTTAAATAGAAAAAAAATCAGTATATGAGAAATTGAGAGTCTCTGTGAGGAAACTATAAGCCATGAACATGAAAGTAGAAATATGGGAATCTGTAACTCCAAGGAAAATAAGAAAACTAGAATTTTGAGAAGGATAATGTCAGCAATCAGCAGTGCCAAAAAGATCAAGGAAGATGAAGAATGAACAGTGCCCATTAGATTCAGTCACGAGAGCTTTGTTGATAATATTTCAAAGATATGCTGACACTAAAAAGGAGATTTCTGTGGATTAAGGTGTGAATGAGTTAAAATTAAACTGAGACAGCAAGGGTGGACCCTTTTTTGAGAAGCTTGGTCATGAAAAACAAGATATCCAATCATCCATCCCCTTGTGCTTTCTAAAATCAAATGGAATAAATGTGCCCCTTTCATTATGGAAACTTTAAATATCTGAAAAGAGTTATCAGTGTTCTCCACATTTTCTCTCTCCTCAACTGAATGTCTACAGTTTTATGTACTGTTCCTCATGTGACACAGTCGGCAGTCACTCACCATCCAAGTGATGATCTCTTCAGAAGAGCACAGTCATCTCACAGGCCCCAAGTCAAAAAGACCAGTCAGATAATGGAAAGAGAAGAGGTGGGGGGGGGGGGCGGGGGATTTGAAAAGCATCTGTTCACTTGGAGTGCGGGTGAATTTCCCGCCAAAATATAAGATGGCTCTGTCTTTTGGTTTTGTTCCATCCACCAAAAGGGTGGATTACAAACAAATATTTGGTAATACGCAGTTACAATCGGCCCGAGTTTACACGTTTCCCGCACTCCACCGCAAATCTATATGAACCGAGTTAAAGACGGCTCCCGCGGAGTACGCGCAATTCACGCGAGCCGACTTAACTCGTTTCCCGCACTCCAAGTGTGTTGATACCATAATACAGAGGGAAGGTGATTGTGTGATCTTTAGAGCTGTGTCTTTGGGACAGCTTCTGAGAGCCTGGCTTTATGGAGACAGGAGAGAGCTAACCTCAGAATCTAGTAGAAAGAAGTCCCCGTGAAGAGCTGGTTTATCTTGGTTCATAGGCCAGCTAAGCCTTCCTAGGACTTTGGGGCAACAAGAAACAGAAGAAAGAGAAGCCTAAAACACTGGCACTTCCTTTGACTTGCTTTGTGACCTGAGGTAAGTCTAAGTCATTTCCCTGCTCCCATCTGAACATCTGGTTTCTTATTTGTAAAGTGAGGGTGTTGAGTTAGAAGATATTCAAAATGCCTGGCAGCACTCTCAGATCCTATCATGTGAAACCAACTGAACATTCACTTTGAGAAAAATAATCCTGTCAGGGTGCCAGTAACATGATATTTCTGGACCTATGTGATCATTACATGGGCGTGCTTATTTTATACTTCATTGGTCTGCACATTTATAATTTTTTGAGTGTATGTCATACTTTAATAAGAATGTTTATAATAAAAATTCCATTAAAATAATAAAGGATGATGTTTTATTTTAATTTTTTGAGAGGGGATGGGGAATGCTGTTGTCAGCATTTGGAAGTATTTTCCTGAATGTCATGAAATCTGTACGTGAGAGTCACAGTTGGTGCAGCAGGAAACCCAGGCTCTGGTGTGACTTCCTTAAACAAAGCTCCCAGCAGGAACTTCTGGTTGTGGAGTGTATGAAAGTGTTCCTGCCCAGCACCAGGAGTAATGCTCGGTAGGTAGGCAGTAATCCCTGCTGGACAGAATCCACACACTCCCCTGGGTTGTCCCAATACCTGGGAAAGGGGCTTGTTCTAATGCCTCAGCATTGTCACCATCTGGTTTAGCAGATTCAAACTCAGGGATCCGTTTATATCAGAGAGAGAAGAAAAGTGAGAACTGCAGTAAGGATTGTTGGCCTGGGTTGATTCTTTGATTTCTCTGTTCCTTTCTTTTTCACTTGTTCATGGGAAAAAATATTTGTAGGCTTATAGGCCCCCCACATCAATGTACTTCTTCAGGACTAACCTCTTTATCCTGGGCAGTTCCTTGCATGTTGCCTCTTTCTTTCTTCCTGTCTTTCTTTCTTTCTTTCTTTCTTTCTTTCTTTCTTTCTTTCTTTCTTTCTTTCTTTCTTTCTTTCTTTCTTTCTTTCTTTCTTCTCTCTTCCTTTTCCTTCCTTCCTTCCTTCCTTCCTTCCTTCCTTCTTCCTTCCTTCCTTCCTTCCTTCCTTCCTTCCTTCCTTCCTTCCTTCCTTCCTTCCTTCCTTCCTTCCTTCCATCTTTCCTTTCTTCCGTCCTTCCTTTCATTCTGTCTTTTGGAAGGTAGTGGGGAGGCTGGTGATTTAACCTCATTATTGCCTTCCCTCAAATGCCACCACTTTTCTGTTTCCTCCCTGCCAATTTGCTACTGCCTGAGATAAGTCACTGCATGGATGCAGCCTTACAGGTTGGCTTCTTTCTACTTTTAGATACATCTCCAGTCAGCACTCCCCTGACTCACACATCCTGGTACAAGTTCACATTAATAGCTACCTCCAGGACTTACCTTTGAGGGGGATCTCCATTTATTTGGGAAGTTGAAGGAAAGAATCTGCGAGACCTGGATATATGAGTAAAATTATATATTATTTAAAATAATAACCACAGACACAAACAAAAAAGAAATTAGTACCCTGGAAAGAGAAGAGAGAAGCAGATGAATGGTGCCAAGCTGGACTACACACAGTGTGACTCACCTCTCCATGACATTTCTAAATCATGAATGAAGTTGTTGATCTCATGACATTCTTGAGGCAAGTGGATGTACAGTGTGAGCCCATACTCTGCATCTGGAGAGAACTGTACCAGCAGGGAAGGAGGTGTGACAGAAGGGAATACAGAGGAGGTGAGAGGAGGATTTCAGACTTTCACTGTGTTAGAGAGTGATAGTTTTGAGCAAGTGTTACCAGGTCTTCAAGGGATGGGGGCTGGAGGTGGGCAGGGGACATCTCAGTTATGCACAACATATTACCTGCTATCTTTTGAACACACCCTCTTCTTCACATCTCACACCTTTGCCTGGAATGTCCTTGCCCATCCTCTAATATGCAGTCAGATCTGAGGCGCCTTTATTCACATCTCTACCTCTCCACACTCAATGCCCTCTCTCCAGCCTGTTATCCCCATCTCCTGTTTCCACCGTGTTTTGTGCACGTTCTCCTGTTATGTCTCCATCACATAAGCCTGTAATTATCTGCTCATGCTTCCGTCACCTCCACTAGACTTTGCACTTGGGTAGATGAAAGACTGTGGCATGTGTTTCTATGTGTGTCTGAGTGAGGGTACGTGTGGGTGTGTACAGAAGATGTTTCCCTTCACGCCTCACACAGAGCTTCATTACTCAGTCCACAAACATTTACTGAGCATTCATGTCTGAGGGATGAGGTAATGTGCAAACAACAATAGGTCAGCCATAGCCTTGGCCTTCAGATCTCAGAATTAACAGAGACAGCAGGACATCCATTCATCTGTTTGAGAACTTGTACTGAGTCCTACTCTGTACCAGGCCCATGCCAAGTACTGGCTAAAGATAAATGCAGCACAGTTTCTGCTCTGGAGTTGCTCATGGCCTGGGAGTAAAGATAGGGACGTAAATACAGAACAATGTGACAAAGCTACAGGAGTCATGGACTCAAGTGCTACCATAATCCCTACAGGGTGAGCAGTGGAAATGTTCATGGAAATATGTAAGAGAATTAATCTCCAGGAGTCACAAGATTTCTGTAGTCTCACAAGGTACTCTAGTTAATATTCTTATTTTTATTAACTAGAGGCCCGGTGCACAAAATTCATGCACTCGGGGGGGATTTCCTCAGCCCAGCCTGCGCTGTCTTGCAGTCCGGGAGCCCT